ATGGATTCCGGAAACAGCATAGCACAACAACAGCTTTGCACGCCATTTCCGCACACATAGCAGAAGGACTCAACCAGAACAGGCCGTGTAACAGGACAGTCATGGTGGCGCTAGACCTATCAAAGGCATTTGATACCGTCAGTCACGCCAAGCTGTTCGAGGACATCGAGAGAACAACCCTCCGGCCAAGTTTGAAACGTTGGATCGTGAACTATATGTGTGGACGCCAGTCGTACGTGGAATTCAGAGACAGGAAATCGAAAGCCCGTAGAGTTAAACAGGGAGTTCCCCAAGGAGGGGTGATATCTCCGGAACTGTTTAACCTCTACCTCTCTGGAATTCCACGCCCACCGGACGGCATAAAGATCGTGACATATGCGGATGATTGCACGATTATGGCGTCAGGACCAAAAATTGATGACATTTGCGAGAGGCTGAATCACTATCTCGTAGATATCGCAGATTTTTTCCGATCGAGGAATATGAAAATATCCGCCACTAAATCAACGGCCACACTGTTTACCACATGGACAGCGGAAATGAGGCTATCTTTGAATGTGCAGGTCGAGGGGTCTACAATTCCGACCACTAATTACCCCAAGGTTCTAGGGGTCACATTCGATAGCCTATACAAGTCGTCCGCGCATGCCACAGCTATTTGCGACAAAGTCAGGAGCAGAAACAAGGTTCACAAGTCGCTAGCCGGCAGCACTTGGGGAGCTGACAAGGAAACCTTGTTAACGACTTATAAGGCAATAGGCCGGTCTGTGGTAAACTATGCGGCGCCAGTGTGATCCGCTAACGTTAGTGCAACGCAGTGGAAAAATCTTCAATCCTGCCAAAATGCCGCCCTGAGGACTGCAACAGGGTGTCTCCTCATGACTCCAATAGACCACTTGCATGAGGAGACGAAGATCCTTCCTGTGCGTCAACACAACAAGATGTTGTCGATGCAATACTTGCTTGGGTGTTATAGGAGCAGCCATCCGAACCGCTACCTAATGGATAGGCACCCACCACCCAGGCATGTCAGGAAGGATCTCCATGATCTGGAGAGAGGTCCAGAGATACAAAAGGAAGCCTCTAGATCAACAGGCCTATCAAGCAGGATTGAACAGTATTCACACGGACGCAGTTGAGGAAGCAGTTCAAGAATATCGTGTGAATACCATCCTCGATGACCATCCGCCTGAGATAGCCGCAGAAGAGCAGCAGCTACCTCGACAAACTAGAGTGGTCTTGGCACAGCTGAGATCTGGATGGTGTAGCCGCCTCAATTCGTATTGGGCACGGATTGATGGAGAGGTCGACAATGTCTGCCCGGCATGTGGTAACGGTCCACATGATACGCTACATCTATTTAATTGCCCAGCCAAGCCCACTCTCCTAACCCCATCTTCTCTCTGGACTCAACCTGTACAGGTCGCAGCCTTTCTGAATTTGGAGTTAGAGGCAGAACCAAATTAAGACAAATTGGAAATACACAGCAGTACTAGCTGCTACAACAACAACCTGTGATCTATTTCGCAAATAAGATGATATCCATTTAACTAAATTTATACTGAAACCAATTTGATTTAATTTATATATTAAAAGTTCATGGTTAACCCTGTCAAAAGCTTTACTGAAGTCAGTGTAAATTGTATCTGTTTGATTACGCTGAATAAAACCTTTTATGACGGTTGAGGAAAATTGAATAAGATTGGTAATGGTTGAGAGGTCACTACGAAAACCATGTTGATATGGACTTAAGATTGGCTGAACTTTATGAAAAATTACATTAATTCGAGACATTAGTTAAGCTACCCGATTTGTGTAAAGGAACTATATAGGATTTCTTAACGAAGGTAGGAAAATGACTATACTTCAGGGAATAATTAAACATCAGCGTTAATGGGATAGCTAATGTATCTGAACAGTACTTTAGAATTATGCTAGGAATGCCATCCGGACCTGGACTTTTAATTGATCTTAAATTACGTAGATTTTTAGAAACATATTGACTTTGTAAAAAAGGCATAGATATTTGATCTATTGTCGATAATTTATAGCTATATGTGTCTTTATTTGGACAGGGTGAATATGAATATGTTGTAGCGAAAAAATTTGCAAAGCACTCTGAAATTTCAGAGTTTTTCTCAAATGTCTGATTATTGAATTTCAAAATTGTGGGTTTTGACGTAGCTTTTCTTTTTATATTAACAAAGTCATAAAAAGATTTAGAATTGGATTTGAAATTATGTTTAATCTTGTTTAAATAAAGATTGTAAATTTTTCGGGACTCTGTCGTATATTTAGACCTTGCGACAGCATAATTAGCATAATCTATAGAGGAGCCTGATTTTTTATATTTTTTAAAAAGTTTATTTTTATAATTTTTAATACTTGAAAGCCCAGATGTGACCCATGGATATCGTTCCGAGTTTCTAAATCTAACAATGGAAACACATTCTAGACTAAATTTATTTAGGATATCATAAAATTTATATACTGATAATTCTAGTTCACTATGACTCTTACAAATAAATAATGAGCTCCAATTTACGGTTGAGATAAGTGCGTTTAGCTTTCGGAAGTCAGTTTTATTATAATTAGGAACAGATTTAAATGACATTGAAGAATATTTGGTAGCTAAATTATTATGCATCATGGATATGCATACTGTAGGATGGTAGTTATCTTCGGGAGTACATACTGAATGTATTTTAATTATTTCAAAATATTGTGTATAATTCACAAATGCTAGATCTAGAATTCGATCATAACAATTTGATACGCTATTTATTTAAAAAGATTTATGTCGCTAAATCGATTTACAATTCCAAAGGTATATTAGCATCAACTGCAATAAGGACGCCACCACCTTTTTTTACAACTCTATCTTTTCTAAATATTTGATATCTAGAACACAAAATTTCACTATTTAACACGGATGCTTTTAACCAAGCTTCAGAAAATACTATAACATCATAAATTAAACCAAGGCTATCAGAGAATAATTGAGTTAATTTTGTGTTTAACCCTCTTACATTCTGATAGCAAACATTGAGAAACATATTTAGTTTTTTGGCAATATTTCAGCCCTCTGAGGCAAATGAGCCAAATTTTCAGATCTTTCCAGAAATTCCTTTACAAATGCATTAGCAGGCCAAAATTCTCTCGAAATTAGTCGATGAAACATACTTTCTTTTACAAGATGATCTACTTTCTGAGAAAGCTGACCGGAGCTTATAACAACGTAGAAAGAAATTTCCATCGATTTTTGATTTTATATAATAATTTATATCCCCAGCCGAGGTATCTGGTGCAAACGTAGATACAAATACCATTTTCCTGGTGGGAGCCATAGATAATGGTCTTTGACCTGGTTGGAGGGAGTTGCTAGTGACAGCTACGGAAGACGCATTAGATGCTTGAACTGATGTTTCCCGATTTCCGTGAGGTTTTGAAGTCTTCCAGACTCGCACTACTTATACTCAAAGATTTTGGATTAATCACTTTACATCCTTAACGATTTCCGAGGTCGAATGTGACGCAACACTAGCATATGTCTGGACACAATCAGTTTCCGTTGTATCTGTGATATTGACGGAAGGTGATTGTGGCACTGTATTCCCAACAGAAACTGTGGGTTTGCGACTAGGCACGACTTTATTGGGAGCCTTTTTCGCAGACCTTTTACGTTTCTACCCAGACACAGATGGCGATGATACAAATTCATCCAGCACTTGGTACTTTTCGAACAAATTGGAAAAATTCTCAAAACGTTTAGATAACGATGTAAATTCCAAGCTCCGACTGCAAGTCTGAGAGTTTTCGACAATGAACACAGCACCAACGGACACCAACATTATCCCCAATTGTGTCCACTGCTTTTGCATTAATTCGAGCACATTTAACGTGCCATTGATTAAGGCAAAACCAGCAAGAAATTCAAGGGAATTTCTATCCCTTGAATTTCTTATAAAACACAAAATTTGGCGACTCTGTTCTGAGATGTCAAAATAACAAAACAAAATAAAAGAAATGTTACAACAACAATATAAGCTAATATAACAAAGGAACAAATTGGGAATTTAAACAAAATGCTAATTAGAATTTAAATGATTAATTAATATTAGCAAAAATATGTTAAATTTCACAATTCCAATTAGATCAAAATGCACAAAAATTATTTCACAACACTTTTAAACACTGTTACCACAAAAACACTGATTATATTGTTAGAAATTAAATTTTTTTTAAACGAGCACAGAGCACCACAAAATTAGTGAACATTCACGACCCCCGTATCTTGCCCCGTATACAAAATGCGTGTGGTACATTCGTTGATAATGCCAATATTTCTTTATGGTCTTAAAGTATTTAGTGGTAGTTGTGGATATGTTTTGCGTAAATTACGTTTTTTGTTCAATCGGGTTATGTATGCGTTGTCATCGGAATATATAAATTTATATTTTGAGACTTTCCATGGTTGAAGTTTAAAAATGTTGTGTATATTAGAAATATTTGTTGTTTATAAAAGATTCTGGAACTCCATATTCTTACACCATTGTAATTCTGTTTTCGTTTGGGGGATCTACTAGCAAAGAAATTTTATCGCGTATGACTTCACTTTTGTAAAGATAATTTGTAGTGAGACTTGCACGTCTGTTAAAAACTTTAATCAAATCTTTGCACCATTTTAAGAGCAAGCTCTTCTTGCAAGCACATGAAAATAATTTAAATTATTGTTTTTATTAATAATAATAAAAATGTTATATTTTGATTTTTACCTTATTTATTTTTTATTGTTTTTTTTAGCAGATTATGTATGTGTATTCATAATTATTTTAAATTATATTTTATTAGTTTAGTTTATTACAGGAGTTTAACTAATTTTTGCATTGTGTAATTAGCAAAGGTCTTTTTTGGTTTTGTTGCAAAAAAGTAAAATAAATTAAATTAAGTATATTTCATACGAAATAACATAAAATGTTCATTATTGTTTACAATTTTAGTTCTTCGATTGAGGCGCCGAGGATTCTCCCCATGTTCCCAGCCTATTATATTTTCAATAGTTTGCTGATTATGTTGCTTGTACTTCATATTGTTTGGACATATATGATACTTAAAATTGTAATAGATTCATTGCAGAAAGGATTGGTAAGCATTAAAAAATAAAAGTATTTTGAAATGTCGTTGACAATATTTCACATTTATATTGTAGATGTCTGGTGACATAAGGTCCAGTGACAGCGAAGTCTCTGAAAGTTCGGAAAGCCAAAAATCAATCAACAATGGTGATGTGAAAAATGTTAATAATGCAAAGAAGAAAGCTCCAACCAAAAATTAATAACCAAATACTGCATCAAATTCGGATTTTTTATTTGTATGCTATGTACAAACTATATACTAGTTAATACATATATAAATGCTTTTTAATGTCAGAAATTATACAAGAAGTACATTTATTTTGTAATATTATTGGATGTAAAATAATAAATGTTTTATTTTATTGTTGTCTAAATATGTGTTAGTGAGGGTAAAATATTTGTTAATACTTTTAAAGTATGTGCGACTTTCGGACCAATACACCCAAATCCAAATCTTTTCAAGCTAAGGTTAGCTCTGTGGTACAACCAAATTAGTGTTGCGTTGCTAGTTGTCTCTTTGAATAGCAATTGGAATCACTTGCCCTTAACTATAGTATCGCTAACTATGTATGAAACGTATTTTTCAGAATTTTCTCCCTCTCTCTTTTTGGTGTATTCTGAACAATATTTCAGAATTAATTCTTTCACATTCTCACTTTTGTCTGACCAACACTCGTTCTCGATGGTAACATACATATTCAGCCTTATTCTGGCAGCCTTATTCTGGATGTCAATTTCATGTGAATTTACTCGCTCTTTCCCTTCGCCTTATTCTGAACAACATTTTCCAGTGAATTTTTTCGCATTCTCGCTTTCGCCTTATTCTGAATGAAGTTCGAAAGCGAAAAAATCCGCTTTGGGGAAAAATTAGGTATTCTGAATTACAGGGAGTAGGAAATTTTGTGCGAAATTTTTCGCTAATTTTAAGGGGAGTTGACTACAAAAACATAAGTAATAACTATTTTTATGAAAAATATTTACACAATACTTATTCTATGACGATTTAGAATATTATAAATGATAGTAAGCAAATTTTTAACTGGAAAACAACCAATAAAATGCCATTGGAAAACCTATTGATAACGATGTATGCTGAAAAGTATTGCCAAGGGATGTATGAAGGTAATAAGTAATATTTAAGTCGAGTTTGATGCATTTTGGAGGCGAAATACAGACATTTTGGGTGAGGATATGTCTCTCAAGAATAAAATTTTGAAAATTATGGAAAACCCAAATTTGCCTGATGAGCCGCTTAACAGTGAAAAACTTAAATAAAAATTATGAAAGAACAAAAAATATTTTTTTTCAAAATTATGGTGTGCATGATTTGAAGGAAGAAATAAAGGAGTAGGAGCAAATCATAACATAACAGGCCACTTTATGAATTTGGGAGATAAAATATCGGAATTAAATAAAAAGGCACACAATTATGTAGTGAAATAATAAACTGTGAATTAATTAATTAAGTCGCAGATTTCTTCCTATTATTCGTTGTGTTTTGCCATCATAAAAAAATGTTCTTTTATTTGTAATCTATTGTAGTTGTTGCAACACATTGCATCAAAACATTGAACAGCTGTTTCACATGCCATATTGTAGGTTGCCATATTTTCAAACTTTAATTTATTTTCTTTTAATTACAAAGCATTTATACAGCGGATTCTTGATATTTCAAATTTGTATTGCTATAAAGTTTAAATAACAATAAAAAGTAACATTTTTTAATAACAAAAATCAATAAATAATATATTGAAAAATGTTACACAATTAAATTACAATGGGGCAACACACATTGCAACTTAAATTACAATATGGCCACACACATTGCAACTTAATTTACGACATGGCAACACGAATCTTTTTTTCAACCACCATTTTCGAAAACTCGAATCAGCATCTCGCATTTTTTGCATCTCCCTATTCATTCAGAATAAGGCGAGAATGTGAAAACGAAAATTTTCTACATGCGAGATATCTCCCTAGCAAATATCCAGAATAAGGCTGTGGATGTCAATTCCACGTGAAATTACTCGCTCTTCCCCTTCGACTTATTCTGAACAACATTTTCCTGTGCATTTTTTCGCATTCCCGCTTTCGCCTTATTCTGAATGAAGTTCGAAAGCGAAAAAATCCGCTTTGGGGAAAAATTAGGTATTCTGGATTACAGGGAGTAGGAGAATGAGATGAAATTTTGTGCGAATTTTTTCGCTAAGAAATTCAAAGGGAGCTGACTACAAAAACATAAGTAATATCTTTTTTTCTGAAAAAAATTTACACCATACTTATTCTCTGACGATTTAGAATATTATAAATGATAGTAAGCAAATTTTTAACTGGAAAACAACCAATAAAATGCCAAGTATTGCCAAGGAATGTATGAAGGTTTGATGCATTTTGGAGGCAAAATATAGACATTTTGGGTGAGGATCTGTCTCTCAAGAAAAAAAATTTTAAAAATTAAGGAAAACCCAAATTTGTCTGATGAGCCGTTTAACAGTGAAAAACTTTAATTACAATTACAAAGTGTGCATGATTTGAAGGAACAAATAAAGGAGTAGGAGCAAATCATAACATAACAGGCCAGTTTAAGAATTTGGGGACATAAAATATCGGAATTAAATAAAAAGACACACAATTATGTAGTGAAATGATAAACTGTGAATTAATTAATTCAATCGCAGATTTCTTCCTATTCTGTGTTTTTTTTTTCATCATAAAAAATGTTCTTTTATTTGTAATCTATTGTAGTTTCACCAAATTGCATCAAAACAATGCACAGATGTTGCACATGCCATATTGTAGGTTGCCATATTTTCAAACTTTAATTTATTTTCTTTTAATTACAAAGCATGTATACAGCGGATTCTTGATATTTCACATTTGTATTGCTATAAAGTTGAAATAACAATAAAAAGTAACAATTTTTAATAACAAAAATCAATAAATAATATATTGAAAAATGTTACACAATTAAATTACAATGGGGCAACACACATTGCAACATAAATTACAATATGGCCACACACACTGCAACTTAATTTACGATATGGCAACACGAATCTTTTTTTCAACCACCATTTTCGAAAACTCGATTCCGCATCTCGCATTTTTTGCATCTCCCTATTCATTAGAATAAGGCGAGAATGTGAAAGCGAAAAAATTTTACATGCGAGATATCTCGCTAGCAAATATCCAGAATAAGGCTGAATACTTATTCTATGATGATTTAGAATATTATAAATGATAGTAAGCAAATTTTTAACTGGAAAACAACAAATAAAATGACATTGGAAATCCTATGCATGCTGAACCAAATATTGCCAAGGAATGTATAAAGGTAATAAGGAATATATAAGTAGAGTTTGATGCATTTTGGAGGCGAAATACAGACATTTTGGTTGAGGATCTGTCTCTCAAGAAAAAAAATTGAAAAATTATGGAAAAACGAAATTTGCCTGATGAGCCGCTAAACAGTGAAAAACTTAAATAAAAATTATGAAAGAACAAAATTAAAGCTACAAAAAAAATATATATATTTTTTTTCAAAATTATCGTGTACATGATTTGAAGGAAGAAATAAAGGAGTAGGAGCAAATCATAACACTTTAAGAATTTGGGGAGATAAAATATCGAAATAGATTAAATAACAATAAAAAGTAACAATTTTTAATCATAAAATCAATAAATAAAATATTACACAATTAAATTACAATGGGGCAACACACATTGCAACTTAAATTACAATATGGCAACACACATTACAACTTAAATTGCAATATGGCAACACAAATCTTTTTTTCAACCACTATTTTCGAAAACTCGAATCCGCATCTCGCATTTTTTGCATCTCCCTATTCATTCAGAATAAGGCAAGAATGTGAAAGCGAAAATTTTTTACATGCGAGATATCTCCCTAGCAAATATCCAGAATAAGTCTGTAGATGAATTTTTTTTGCCAAATTTTTCGCTAATAAATTCAAAGGGAGCTGACTACAAAAACATAAGTAATAATTTTTTTTATGAAAAATACTTACACACTACTTATTCTATGACGATTTAGAATATTATAAATTATTGTATGCAAATTTTTAACTGGAAAACAACAAATAAACAGCCTTATTCTGAATGTCAATTCCATGTGAATTAATTAACCGGCAATTCATAGAGCATCCCGAGAGTGACAGGGCGAAAAGGAGTGTGCTACGTCGCATAAGGTTGACCGTACCTCCTCTTTCTTAGAGGACAATCATCTATTTTAAATGGCTGCCATCTATAAAATTTATGTCCTCTATCTGTCATCGTTGTCATCTATATTTTTAAAATTTTGATCAATATTTTTGTAAAATAAAACAAATTAATAAATTTTCTTTGAAATATTTAGAACAGGTAATTTCGGTATTTTCAAGAATTTTCAGCCTTATTCTGGGGGGTTACTCTGTATTGCGTTGCGAAAGCAAGTGCGATGCGAAAGCTAAATGCGTTAAAAGTACAATTTGGTACTCTGTAACGCTCGCGCACACGCATTCGCAAACTAAATCGAAAATAGGGCAACACTGTCGCCACAAAGTAAACAACAACGAAGAATGACAAAAGGAAACGTCAAAAAAATTTAAATAAAAACATATTTTTTGTGTGGTACGAGTATTTTTTGAAACAAAAATGATGAACGAATTAAAAACAAAAAAAGAATTTTATGAGATCGATCAAATAATCTCCCTAAGTGACCACGGGTATTAAAATTGAAGTACGAATTATGTGACAAACGTTTTCAAATATTTAATTTTTATAGATTTATACAACATGTTCGTCTCAATAAAGATTCGTTTATGTATTTATTAAACGCTCGTCTTTCCAAATAGATCCACAACAATTCCAACTCCAATAAAAGAGGCCGCTGCTTTGAAATTGCTTGGACAAGGTGGTTATCAACACCAACCTGTAAATATGCACACATAGTTTCACATATTATATAAAAATATAATACATTACTTTTTCCAACCACCGACATCTTTTACAGGAGGTCAATTTGAATTGAGATCATCAGACAGTTTTGTCCACAAATTGTTGGCGCGTTGTTTCGAATTTGAACTCTGCAACTGTCCCTTTGCCAAATCACTGTGTTGCCTCATAAAATCTACTGAAGTTAGGAACTGACGTTGCTGAGTCTGCCACTGTGACTTTTTTGCCTTTTACTTAAAAT